CCAGAGCAGCATTTCTCAGCAGTGAGTAATGAGCATGGAGATGAAAAGAACATTGCTGTGGCTTTAGGCTGCCTTTGGAGCAGCCCAGCTCTGTTTTTACAGGTGGCCTCCACCTCAACCTTGCCATGTTCTCCAGGTACTGTAACTCACTTGGGTGGTGGAGCTCCTAGAAGGAGAAAACACGGTTTGGGCTGGGTGTAGTGCTCTTGGGTTCAACTTTGCCATAGTGGGGCACAGGGAGCTGCAGAGCATTGCTAAGAACCTGCTCCAACAGCACACTGAGAGCTGACCTGATGGATGGAAAGGGCTTGAATTCCAAGCAGGAAAAGCAATGGGATATGACAAAATGCATGTTGAGATTACTTCTTTGTTTTTAGTTCCAGTCCAGGGCTTAACTCTGCTTTAGAAGTAAAACTGTTTATAAACTGAATCTGTAAAGGAAATAACTTTCTCTCCCCTTGCTGTAGGAAGGAGCGATAGCAGTGTTCTTCTCTTCCCTCCTTCCCACTCCAACACCTCAGAAAAACCCATCTCTTAGCAAACCAGCTGTAAAGATCCTGCTTTTTGAGGACTCTGCTGTGCCAGTTGGATGAATCTATTTCCATAGTAGGTTGGAGAAGCTAAAATGGCTCGAGTCCTCTCCGCTGTTCTGCGTAGGTGCACGTGTGATAGCATCTGTGGTCTGAACTCTTATCCTGAGTTCCCACTGCCTGGGTTAACGTGTGGGGAAGTCTGCCTCTTGCCTGTCATATCCCGTGCTTGATTCTGCCTGCTTTACAAAGGCAGATTCCAGGGGAATGGAGGTGATTCTGTTACAGCCGTCAAACCATGGACAGAACCACCAGCTTCGTGGTGGCGCAGTCCTGCAGGTAACTCCCCCTTGGGTTCACCTTCTGGTGGCATAGAAAGGGAGAGGAGATGGCTGGGAATGGGTCCTGCCACCAGAATGAAGGCTTGACATGCTGCAGCCTCAAATGTGGTGGTGAAGATTGTTTCTCAGCCTTGGGAACCTGTGAGTTCATGCCAACACCCGTCCCACTCTAAGAAATCTGCTTACTGCTTTTCAGGTTTGGTCTCTTCACCATCCACCCTTGGCCTTTCCTGTGGTTGACTGGTGCATGTTTGTGCTTTCCCAGTATGGCCATTAAGAGCTTCCTTGTCAGCTGGGGGACAGCTGGAACTCTTCTGGGTATGACAAGGTCAGCCTCTGTGCTGAACTTACCTACATGTGTCTGAGCCTCCTTGTGCTTTGCACCTCACCTGGAGGTATTTGTGCTGCCCAGAGAAGCTGTGGCTGCCCCATCCCTGGCAGTGTTCAAGGCCAGGTTGGACACAGGGGCTTGGAGCAACCTGCTCTAGTGGAAGGTGTCCCTGCCCGGGGCAGGGGTTGGAGCTGGAGGAGCTTTAAGGTCCTTTAAACCCAAACCATTCTCTGTATTGACTCCTCACCTGCCCCTACCCACCTTGTGCTCTTCAGCAGTGACATTTGGCTCAGGGCTACAGTTAGGAGGCACAGTGAGTTTCTTCTTCCCCTTCATCCTTCAAAGCAGAACTTCCATGTTTTACCAGCAGTGAGGTTCTGTGAAAGAGCCTCTGTTGCTACAGCGGAAGAGAAGGATGCACATCGCTGTTCCCCCACCATGGGCAAAGATTGAATGAATTCCTTCTGTGGAAGAGCTTGCTGAGCAAGTGTAATTTAGGTGCACAGCAAATTCCAGCTGCCTTCAAATGCTGTTTACAAAAGACTGGGCAAAATGAATCACTTGTGCTAAAGCTGATGGAAGCAAGCAGAGCACGGGGGAGGTGAGACACCCTAACCTGACAGGCTGCTCAGAGGTGTGTGGCCCTGGGAGCTCCCATCCACCTTGGTCATAACAGCCCATCTCTGACAGTGTTGCTTCTGATGACCCTGCTTAGCTTCTATGTGAAATGGGTGCTTTATAAAGCCCTGGCTGCAGGATGGACCAGGCATTCCAAGCTGTTTTCTCTGGTGCTTTCCTTGGGCTGAAGGGAGCTACAGCCTGGCTTTCCCTGCCAGAAAGGTCCCATGCAGTGGTGAGGATGTGCCATGTCTCGCTCTTGCTGCAGTGATGAGCAAAGCCTTGGCTCCCCAGTAGCCTACTTCACCCCACTTTGGTGGTATGGGTTGGAAACCATCTTTCACATTAGAGAAAGGAGCTTTCATGAGCAAGGGCAATGATTTCCCTTTGCAGCCACTCAGTAAGAAGCCTTTAGAAGCCTCTTTTCCCCCTAAGGGCTGTATTCCTTCCATAGCTGCTGCTCAGTGTCATCGCGGGTGGCAGGAGGTAGGAAACAGGCAGGTTTTGCTCCAGTTCCCACCTTTCCAAGTCTTTATTTGCCAAACCCATGTTCACAATGAGATCAAACCAAATGCATTGCCTGCTGGTGCTGTGTGATTCTCCTGCAGGTGCTGGAGCCCAGCCTAGCTGCTTCTATATCTGATGGGCCCACTCCTGGCTCTTTGATCCCTGCTGATGTTCTCCACACTCCCAAACAAAAGCTACAGGTACAAATGATATCCGAACTTGATGTGTCTGAGAGAGGCAGACACCACACCTCATTCCTCCACCTGCTTGTGGATTAGCTCTGATCCACATGGAGCATGGCCTGGAGACACAATCCCAGACACTGGTGCTGCTGCATGGGGGATGAAGGCTGTGTTTGCCAATTGGCGCGCAGGATGCTGCACCTCTAGGACAACGTTCCTATGTCTCCACACGGAGCTGTAAGCAGGGGAACCTGAGTGTGTGGCCAAGGAGGAGTTGCTGATGTGCCAAGTGTGAGCCTGCTTCTCTCAGCTGCAGGCTTAGAAGTTGGGGCAGAACCAGGGTTTTGGTTTCTCTGGGTTCCTTGTCTCACAGAGGGGTGAGATCTTCCTTCTGATGCTTGTGTGGCTCTGGCAGATGGTGGGGAAGCAGCTCTTGGAGGCAGAAAGAAGGAACTTGATGAAATCCTTTGTTGGTTTTATCTTTGTTGGGTAGAACTTGGGCTCTTGTTGTCCTCAGTAGCCAACTGGAATAGTCCTGGAAGTCAGGCTGGGGTGGGCAGGGGCTGGACCTTCCATGAGGATGGGAAAGCAGAGCCAGCGTGATCAATGAGAGGTCCCACAGATCCCTGCTGGTTTCTCCATAGGGTGTTCTGAGTGATGAAGAGATACTTGCAGCTTGGCAGCAGAAGGGAGATGAGGAACTCAAGTGAAGTGAGGCATCCAAGGTGAGGGGGGATGAGCAAACCCTGCTGGCAGGGCATTGCTTTCAGCTGACTTGGTCCAGTATCCAACTAATCCTTGCTACTTCCAGCAGTTCACCAGGAAGGACCATCATTGCAGTGTTAGGACAGATAGATGCCCTGTTGCTTTCCATGTGGTGATGAAGAGCAGCAGGGTGGAAGACTCTGTGTTCAGTGTTGTGGGTGCAGCTTCCTTCCGTGTGCCAGCATGTCTGACAGCTCCTCGTGACCTGCACAGAGCAATAAGCATCCCTCAGACGACAAGCTCCAAACCCTGTTAGTGGCTCCAGACCCTTC